GTCATGCGCTCCAAGGAGTGCCTTCATCTTGATACTCCAATTGTCGTAGATGCTTTCCTTGAGCATCGGGACTTGGAACAAAACCATGCCACCGTTTGTCATTTCTTTGTAATTGAATCCTTAGGCTCTGATACCACTTTGTTAGAATGGAGAGGCTTTTAGGATATGATAAAGGCTAAAAAAAAAAACTTATGGAGAAGAAGCTTCACTCATTTATCACCTTAACTTGGCTTGATACAAACTCCAAACTCAAAGACTCTACCCCTATTTATACAAGTGAAACCTCCTAAATTAATGGCTAAGATTGTGCCACCACAATTACAATCCAATGGTTACAAATAATTCCACACCTACCACACAATAATTCAACACTTACCACACCTACTACACAATAATTTCATACCTACCACATATTCTAGAATAAGCTTATAGAAATTAAGCTTTATTTAAACAACTAAAACCAAGTTTATATTTCAACATAGCAAAACAGAGGAATATGTGGGAATATTCCTTTCCAAATCTAAGATTCCTTAAACAAAAAACCTTTCCTATTTTCCTTCTTCCAGCCAAGCTGCATGAGCCTTCCTCCGCGTGATTTTCGCCAGACCTTGCCGGAAGAAGATGGGAACCGTCTGATAATGTCTAAAACCACCACCAGACTGTCAGACCGCCGACACCAGAATTCTGCTGCTCCAATCTCTTCTCGAGCCGCATGTTGAATCTTCACGTCCAAGACGTCGGCCTGCCGCCCATATGCCGCCGGAACTCCGAATCTGCAGGCAAAACACGTCGGATCATTTGTTGCATGAAATGTCGGCAACACACGTCAGATTTGTTGTCCTTGACGTCTAACCATGAATGAATTTCTGATACTAATTGTTATGTGAAAATAATGCGGAAATTTATAAATACACATAACAATAATCAAACACGAAGATTTACGTGGTTCGGCGTTGAACGATTCACCTACGTCCATGAAGGGAAAGATTTTATTAGCACCAGATGGACAGAAAGAAAGACGACTTGAATTTACAACTCAACACCTCTCTCATCATACACCTCTCACATGAGCCTTATATCTTTTATATAGAAGAGGATTAGACGATACAATGTAAGACAAAAAATGTAGTCCCAACTTCGAAAAGTTTCCTCTTTCAAATATCATTGCTATTGAAGCACGATTGGCTGTTGGTAGGTTGTCTTGATCGCATAGGTAGACGAAAAATAATCTAGCAATCCACGGAGCAGAACTCCATACATAATTATTTCATCACCGTTTTTATATAATTATATTCTAACCATTTTAAGTTCCTTTAAACATCAATTTCATCACCATATATATATATATATATATATATATATACATATATATATAATGAAGTCTCCGCTAATATACAAATTGTGTTTTGAGAAACATTTACAGGAAAAATTGTTGCTGGAGCAAAACAAGACCTTGCAGGTGAGTAGTATTGTTCACAAGTTTCTTAGGCTGTGCTTTGGCGATCACCTAGCAGTTTTCTTTTTGTCCAATCCTATCCGTGACTAACCTTCTACACAGGATATGGCTAAAGCGAAGGCCAAAGCTTTGGTGCAGAATGCAGCATGGGAGCAGCAGAACAAATCCCAGTATAGCTCTGCACCTCCTCATGCTGTGATTTCAGATTCTGTCCCAACTCCTACCAGCAGGTTTGAATGCAGAACCTGTCACATCTTATATTTATAACATCAAGTATGGACTTGAATGGGTAAATGTTTTTTTTTTTTCATATATAGAACATTTCGAGCAAGAGCAAATGGAGAAGAATCACCTCAGCCGCAGTTAAGATTAGGCAACACTTTACTTCCACCATGGATGCTCAGTCACGTTAATGGCTAAAAAATAACTGTAATCCAATTTTAACTCGTTTTGTACCGTGGTATTTGATTCATGTATGCTTTTATATTAGCTGTTATGTCTTCCCTGTATATGTATTAATAACTCAGCTTTGACTATAATAAAGCTTTGCCATTTTATTCATTGATAATATTATAATTTATCCCAACATGAAGAGGAGCACAATCAATATCTCAAAGTAACACTTAATGTTCTTTGAGAGAGCAAGCTTTATGTCATTCTCCAAGTGTAAATTTCAGTTTTGAGAGTGACATTTCTGAGACATATCATCAATCGAGCTAGAATTTGAATGGACCCAACAAAGATTAAGGTGACAATGCATTGGCCAAGGCCAAGCACTATCTCAGAGATCCGTAGCTTTCTTGAGTTAGCTAGCTATTATCAATGATTCGATAAAGGCATTTCTAGCATTGATGTACATCTATCAAGGTTGACTTAGAAGGTTGTTAAGTTTGAGTGATTACATGCTCGAGAGTAGAGCTTTTAGAAGCTAAGGAATTGTTTAATGATAAAATTCATTCCTATCATTCCTTTAAAAATTGATGAATTTCAGATCTATAGAGATATTGCACATCAAGGATTGGGATGTCTTATCATACAATATGGTAGGTTATAGCTCATGTTTATAGACAACTCAAGGTGCACGAAAGAATTATCCTATTCATGAAGTTTACCTAATCATGGTTATTTTTGCATTGAAAATTTGGAGACATTATCTTTATGATGTCCGCTATGAAGTTTTCGTTGGTCATAAGATCTTAAAAAATATTTTTACTCAGAAAAAGTTGAGCTTGAGGTAAATACAATGACTCTAGTTGATGAAAGAATATAATCTAGAGATTCAATCTCACCTTAGTAAAGTGAATGTGGTTGTATATTCTCTAAGCAAAATATCTTTAACACCTGCAGCTTGGAATACCACTCAGAGGTGACAGTTAGCATTGAAGATAAAGCAACTTTAGCTCGAGATTGTATCGATGAAAACCCATTTGTTCATATATTATTTGTCAGTTCAACCTACAATAGTGTATTAGAATTTGTAAATTCACATGAAGAATACAAAATTACAATAGCTTAAAGAGATCTCATAATGGATTAAGTCTCTAGTTAAGTATTAATAAAGCTGGCTTATTAAGATTTCAAGATCAATTGTGTGTTCCAAATCAGGAAGTACTTTAACAGGAGATACTCCGTGAGACACATTCTACTATGTATTTTGCTCATTTAGGAAGTACCAAGATATATCAAAATCTCAAAAAGTTATTTTGGTGAATAACTATGAAAATTAAATTAGTTAAATTTGTAGCCAAGTGTTTGACCTATCAGACGGTTAAGCTAAACCTTAGTGACATGGTGGTCTTTTGTAGCCCCTTACCATTCCAGAATGGAAATGGGAGGAGCTTTCATTGGATTTGTTTTGCTTGGTTGTTTAAGTTTGAAGCAGGGACATCTACATGAGATACCTACCATCATTGTATTTGATTCAAATGGGAGATTTATTTCTAGAAAAGGGAGTAGGTGCAAGAAGTTTTTGGCATAAGATTTGACTTTTGCAATAGTACTTTAGAAGAGCCACGTAGGTGCAAGAAGTTTTTGGCATAAGATTTGACTTTAGTATGCCTTTTCATCCACAGACAGATGAATAGTCAAACTTCACCGTTAAAAAATTAGAAAACTTGTTGAGAGCTTCTATTTTAAACCTCAGAGCCAATTGGGAAGTTTATAATCCATTATGGAGTTCTCCTAAAATATTTGTCAAGCTAGCATCGGTATGGCACCATATAAGGCTTTTTATGGTTAAAAGTGCATATCCCCCTTATGTTGGTTTGTGGTTTGTGAAAGATGAAACTTTAGACCTCAATTAGTTGATCATGCCACCAAGAATATTTTTTTCAATTTACGATCGAATATGTGTTGCTTTATTGTAAGAGAAAATATTTTAATCCTAAGCATAGAGAGATTGAATTCAATGTAAATATAATGTTTTTATGAAGGTTTCACTTTTGCATCGAATTACATGATTTAACAATATTGGAAAACTTAAACCTCACTTTCTTAGACTTTTTGAGGTAATTGAGAGAGATGACAGAGTTTCATATCACCTGGCTCTTCCTTCAAGTCTTGTAGAAGTACACAACATCTTCCTCGTCTCTCAATCTAGTGTTATATGAATGATGAATCTCACATGATCCATTAATGATCCGAGAAAACATGAGTTATGAAGCACTATCATATCACATAATGGAGTGTGAAGTTTGATAACTTTATTGCCGATCTAGTTCTTTTGCAATAGTACTTTAGAAGAGCCACTGAGTGAGAAGCAATATGGGAGATTGAAGAGGAGATAGGCATGAAGTAATCGTAGCTATTCTAAAGCTAAGTTATGAATTTGTCAATTAAATTGTTTTAAGAAAGGTAGTATATAAGAGCTAAACCTTCCCACCTAAACCATGTATCCCCTTCATTGTGTAGATCATGTGAATTTTGTGATCCTTTTTCCATCGACCTTCTTTCTGGCCTGCTCCTACACTGCCTTTACTCCTGATCATGTGAGTCACACAATCCTTCATTTCTCCTCGCTTGTTACCGCATTCCCAATCGGGAGTCGCACGAAAGCCCTTTCCTTTTTCAGCCTCACATCTTCATTGCCTCATTTGGCTATTTTAGGAAATTTGAAGGCTAGGGCATTGTCATTCCCTCAAGCATAGTTGTCAATCACTTCTTCTTAATCTCTCCATCTATCATATTATCTTTAACTTTGATGGTCACCAAGCCTAATAGATTGAATAAGCATTCTCTTGTACCCACTCTCAAATTTATGCTCCCCATCAGAGATTAAAAGCCCCTCCATGATCTACTCCATCAAGGAAGCAACTCGACAGTGAAGTTGTATTTTTTATTCTTCTTATTCTTCTCCTTAAATACTTATAATGAATAGGAATATATAAATAATTTATTTAATATTTTTAGTTTATTTTTTAAAATTATTAATTAGATTAAAAGAATTGACTATTAAGTTATGGTTAGTTTTAAATAATTTTTTTTTATATTTACATGTAGATAATAAATAAATAATTATAAAATCTTGACAAGTTACAGTTAATTTTGACAAGTGCAGCGCTCAAATAGGGTCAGTGCATGTTTCTCTCGACTGAGACATACTTGCTTCATTCGAGGTAGAAGAAGAGATAAGATGATCTTGTATTAAGGCAAATGTTCCCTCTGTCACATGGATCCAATCTTCCAAACTATTCAGGGATGAAGGTTGGTAGCCATTTTCTTTCAATCCTGATTTAGCCATTTTGGCTGGGTTTGAATAACCAAAACCCAAAAGTCCTTTTTTCTTAATGAGAAAAAAGATTAATATATTCCTCGGTTAGAATTGTGCCTTAGTTCATGGGAATGCTAAAAATAGATAATATAATATTATGTTATGATAAAGTCTTTTTATCGCACGAATCCAATTTTATAAACTATTTACGGAGATAGTTTATACACATTTTTCCTCTATCCCTCATTGAGCCTTATGGTTGGGTCCAAGTTACCAAACCTTAAAACTAGTCTCCTCAATGTGAATCATTTACCCACATTTGAATGTATGAGAAAGAAGTTGACAACTTCCATCTTTTCCACTGGTTTAATCAGTTTGGTTGGGTTCAAATTATCAAAACCTAAGACCATTCCCCAAAATATCGTTGACACCAGTAAGGGCTTGATCTTGCTACCATATGAACGTTTTTGAGTTAGAAGTTTCCTTCCTTTATTTGGTTTTGTCAAGTTTGTTTGGGTCTGATTAACAAAACCAAAAGTTATATCCTAAATGAGTTATGTATTTGCACTTATTGAGAAATACAAGTTGGAGATATCTCACAGTTGTCAATCACTTCTCCTTTCTCTGATTTAGTCAAATTTTGCTACGTCTGGATTCACAAAACTAAATTGAGTTTTCGTAGTGAGTCTCAAATTTTGGAACCAATGGAACTCTTATACTTTTGGCGGTAGAACTTACTTCTTTAAGTGTTCCATATCGATTGATGTTTAGTTTGATTACTCGTCTAATTGCTTCATAGCCTTTTCTTTTCTAAGGATATTAACCTTATCATAGCAATCATTAGCCTTTATTGTCCTCTTGATTATATCATGATGTGCCTTTTTTATAAAGGGCATTATGTTGATCGATATATTCCAAGATTTTATCATTTTGGCAGTAGGACTTACTTTTAAGTCTACCATGTTGGTTGACATTACTCATTTTATTACTTTATAGTTTTATCTTTTTTAAGGATGCCACCTTTGTTATAGCAAGTGATGGCCTTTGATGTTTGTTTGAATATATCATGACACAAATTTTTTTAAAGAACATCATGTTGATTAATGAATGTGAGCTTGATGCTCATTTGTCGGTCGCCATGCGGCTAGGTGTGGTTTAATTTAGGGTAATATAGTGTTTAGAAATTAGGTATTTTAATGGGGTCAAACTGATCTCATTGATTCCTATAATTTGAATAATCAAGCTAACCACGAGTAATGTACCACCCTGAAAGGTAATACACTACTTGGTAATAAGTTCAATTAAATAAATTATAGAAATAAATGACTTCTGTTTGATCTACAAGTTTACATGATGACCGACAGATTCCCTTATTCGATATGGGAGTCAAATATGGTTTATTTTAAGTATGGGCTCTTTTAAGTTCCCTATAAGGGCAAACCCCTATAGTTAATTACATCTTAAGGGAATGAATCACTTAAAAAAACTCTTGATAAAAATCAGGAATCATTTGCTTTCATGAGTTCAAAAAGAAGAGTTTTCAATGAACATGATTGTGGAGTTATCAATAGGGATTGGTTCAAAAGTGAAAGATTTTTGTTTTAAGAATCAAAGGAAGAGAAGTAGGGGAGATTGGAGATCCAGGGTAGGTTTTTGGTAATCCCCCAAACTATCCTAAGGTTTGGCTCAATTGAGGATGATATTAATTTAAGTTAACTCTTGCCAGTTTTATTAATTATGGCTTAGATTTGTGTAATGATGATTTACACAAAAAACCTAGAAAGATATGAGGTTT